GGTTGCCCCTGGGGCAGCGTGGGAAGGTGGCAGGAGGGCAGCTAGTTTTGCTGGTGGCTGGAAAAGGCAGTGGGAATGGGGCATGGGGCACGGGGCCATCCAGGCAGGCTGCTAGCTGGCTGGTTGCTGTTTCAGCTCAGAGGCACCTGATTCAACACTTCACTGAGCCCGCCCAGGCCTCCAATGCCCTGTGCACTATCCTCACCACCTTCTCCAGCCACTAGCACACTCAGCTTGCTGCTGAGGTAGTGCAGGGAGGTGGCAGGAGAGAGGTTGGGTGTGCTGGAGGCCAGAGAAGGTGGTGGGGTCAGTGCACTGGGCATTGGAAGCCCAGGTGGGCTCAGGGAAGTGTTGGATTAGGTGCCTCCAAGCTGGGGAAGCACCTGGCCAGCTAGCAGCCTACCTAGGCTACCAGCATCCCATCCACTGTCCCCGCTGCCTTCTCTGGCCACCAGCAAACCCAGCAGCTCTCCTGCTGCCTTTCCACGCTGCCCCAGGGGCAAGCCATCCCCTTCCCAGGTGGCCTCAGACATCCTGCCAGCTGCTGAAGGTAGCCTGCTGAAGGAAGAAGCAGCAAGGGGCCCAATCCTTTTTTTCCTGAGGAGACTGCCCATTTCTCCTGTGGCTGGGGGTGGGGGAGCTGACAACTGCATCATTGCAATTTGCAACATTGCAAACTAAACTACATCAGTATGTAGTTTTGTTTGCAACAATGCTAACTCATTAAAACCCCCCAAAACTCTTGCATGTGTACAGTGTGACGCCATTAAGCCATACTTGATCATACAAAGAGACAAAGCTGGTCAGACATGACCTGGCTGCAATGAAATCATGTTGGCTATCTTTCAACATTGTGCCTTCTGCCAGTCTCTAATAAATTGACTTCTTGATAATTTTTTCCAAAACGTTACCCAGTATTTAGGTCAAACTGGCCAGCCTACAGTTTTTTGGATCTTCCCTCCTCCCCTTCTTAAAGATTGGCCCTACATTGGCCTTTTTACAGTCTTCCAGGACCTCTTCCAAGCACCACAAGTCTTCAAATACCTTCGCATTAGAGATGGTTTCCTAAATTTGGGCTTACTCTGTCCAATTGCATCTCTTAGGAACACTTTTTTATGTTCCTGGCTTAATCAATTTAGGTGAAATTTCTCTGAAAACCCCATTTCTTCCCCCCCCGACCCTAACTTAGAGACTTTCAACAGGCCTATCTCCAGTTTCATACTGAAGCAATGAGCAATCATATGGTTTTTACATAAAGTGCAACTCCTCCCCCTCTTCTCCCCTGCCTGTCCTTCCTGAACAGTTTGTACCCATCCATGACAGTGCTCCAGTCATGCAAGCTATTCCATCA